ATATATATGTATGTCTGTTAGTGTATGTTTGTATGTTTTTCTCCTTTTTTTAATGTCTCCTTTGTTATAGAAACTGTGTTTGTGGATGTTCTGGCTTCGTGCTGTTTTCTTCCTTGCTTTGACCAGTCTGAACTGTATAGGTTGTTGTCGTTGTTGTTGTTGTTGTTGTTGTTGTTGTTGTTGTCGTCATTATTAAGTGTGCTCAAATCGACAGTATTATTTTGGAGTACTGGTTTTGTGTGTAGAAGCATGTGACAGTTGGTAACAACCCCCCCCCCTCCCTCCCCAACCTGTTCAAAGCTCGTTGGACAAACAGAAACCGCTATACTTCGGGTACAATAGAACCTGTCCAAGACGACCCCCGCCCCATTGTTGAGGAAGAAAAGTCGTCGTCTTAGTCGAGTGGTCCTCTTAGACAATGTCATTATAGTGCAGAAAAAAAATAACCAACAACCGCAAGAAGCAAAGTAAAGAGGGAAGTGGTCGTTTTTAAAGGTGATTGTCTTGGACCGATGGTCGGTAAGAGCAGGTTTGACAGAATGTCCTTTGGAAAAGACTTTAATATTGGTGAGTCAGAGACAGGACTCGGTATACGTGCGGGTGGTTGGAAGGCGCCACTGATTGGTAGATAGATACTCTGTTACTTTTCTTTTCCTCTTTGTTTTTGCCTTTCCGTCCCCAACTTCTTCTCTGTTTTAAATGGCCGTTATTGTGTCGATGTGTTTATTTGGTTGTTGGGGTTTTTGTTTGTTTTTGGATTTGTTTTATTTGTTGGGGGGAAGGGGGGGGGGGTCGCTCACACAAAAGACATCATGTCTACTTACAGCGCACTCGCGTTGTCTGTGTTGGACCTCACTTTCACTTACATTTTTACCTTATGGCCTTGGAGCATCACGGAAGATTTCGCCCCCAGCTCCCTTCACTCCTCAGAATTTCAGCTCTGTGTAGTTTGTTGGTTTGTGTGTCTGTTTGTTTGAGTAAAGAGAAGCATATATACGGATGCAATAACGGTTATTTCCTTCTGAGGGGGGGGGGGGGGGGAGTAAGACAGACGGAAAAGCGGATGGCTGGAGGGCGCCGTTTGTATGTCTTATTTCCTTACTTTCCTTCTGTTGTTTCTTTCTGTCTGTCATATTTTTCCCCAACACTAAATGATCATTATTGAGTCGATGTGCTTCTTTTTATTCAAACAAACAAACAAACAAACAGTGGGTGGTTGGCGGGTGCTCTGGTGTGGGTTGCTCCTTCTTTCCTATCAAACATCTACCGTCCTTATCTCCCCTTATTCTTTTTATGTTTGTTACTCTCTTGTAATACCTCTTATCTTCTGGCGCTCATATGACCGTATGCAGTTGCGAGCGCCGTAAAACCTCTTCTAAAACTAAAAAAACAAACATACATAGAAACAACAGAGAAGAAATAAAGAAGTAGGAAGGTCTGCCTGTGGCGCCTTCCCACCATCCACACTTTCCGCGGTTGTGGTGGTCTGTTTAATTAAATTATCTTTGAGTGTTTGGCGAGTGCTCTGGTGTGGTTTGCTTCTTCTTTCCTTCCAAACATCTATCATCTTTTTCTCCCCTCCTTCTTTTTTGTGTTTGTTACTCCTTTGTTAACACCTCTAATCTTGGGCACTTTTATGACCTTATTGATATTGTGTTGCAAATGCCGTAAAAGTAAAACTCTTACGAAAAAACCCCCACGTTGAGTACGCATATAAAATAAGGAGTGGTCCCTATGAAAAGGGGGGGGGGCGGGTTGGGTAGCCGAGTTTAAAAAAAAGGAATTCTACTATTTGTTTTCCGCCCCCCCCCCCCCCCCCCCACCCTCCAAAAAAAAAAAAAGCTGAAGCTCAAGGTAATAATTTGCGTGTGTAGCAGCGTACAATACATGGGCCAGGTACAGAGCACGTGATTTGTACGCTTTTGTCTCATTGTGTTCGTCAAGGAATTGGGATTTCGGCAAAACCATCTTTATGTAATTTAATTGATTGGAATGGAGTAGATGTGATATCTGAAGGGGAAAAAAAAACGGTGGGTGGTTGGTGGGTGCTCCGGTGTGGTTTACTCCTTCTTTCCTATCAAATGTCTTGTTTCGTCCTGACCTCTCCTTTTTTTTCGCTTTTTTGTTATTGTTGTTACTCCCTTGTAACACTCCTATTCTTTGGCACTTTTATGACCAAATTGTGTGACAAGTGCCGCAAAACTCTTACTCAACTAACTAAAACGTTCCCTTCTTTATTCGTAGCCGACAATGACATTAATGTATAGTGAGCTCAGTTAGTTGTGTGTAGCCTGCTTTCATGTCATATCCCTCTCCCCCAAGCCTCCACACTCCACAAAGCTTGTGATTTCTGAAGAGCGTGATATCGTACAGATTACACTGCCACAGGATGGTTGGTCGGCACATTGTTAAAACGTTCTATATCAGCATTTTTATTCACTGCTGATACAAGCCGTTCTGATACAAGCTGATGCAAAGACATTTTTGTTCATTGCTCTTTTTTTGTGTTGGAAATCCTAATGTCGTGCCGTGTAATCCACTTAACTATATAAAAAAAGATATTATGTAAAAAAGGTAATCCCCTTTCGTAGACTAATATGAAAAGGACATTCGTACTTAAACTGAAACTAAGAACGTTTACGAATGTCCACAGGTCACGTTGTGCATGATGCATAACATTATCTCCACATAATACAAGGTGTAATCTACGGCGTACCGAGATGATTATTTAGAAGGGATCGACCGACCGGCCATAGGACGTTATTGCGAAGTTGTGGGAATATCTATCTAGGTGGGTCACATGACGCTTATGATAAAGCAAATAATATAATTATTAAATCAATATTATTATAGTAATCATAATTATAATATAATAATAATTATAATATTTAATAATTATAATATAATATTATTATTATTATTATTATTATTAATTATTATTATTAGTATTATTATTATTATTATTATTATTATTATTATTATTATTATTATAATCTGTCAATATCTGACGATGACCAGTACATCCGTAGAAGAGAATATTTCTCCAGCGAAATAGAAGAATTAGAAAAATTAAAGGTTAAATGGCTTCTGCTGTGGTCAATGAGACCTTTTTCCATATTTTGAACATTTAAAAAAAAGCTCCACTTCCATTTTGTGTGGATGTGCACAGCTTGCGGGCTTCTCTTTTGGTTTCAGCATAATTTGTTTTTCGTGAATTCTCATGATCTGATGCCCTCTGTGACCTGTTGCTCACGGCGTACAGACAGCGCTCTTTTAGTTGGATCGGCGATGGAGTGACCGGGTCACGGCGGGCCGGTCACCCAGAGGTCACTAACCCGCCCTCCCGCTACCTGCGTCGGTAGTCGGTGAAATGAATTTTTCAACACATGTTTTATCGTCTTACACAAACAAAAAATATCATACGTGAACACAAGTTTATTCTTTAGAGAAAGCAACTAAACCTCTTTATTGGTACGAAATAGCAATACCATGGCTGCTCACGTTTTTGAGTTAGATGCTCTTAAAATGTATGTCTATTTATAGTTAGTCAAAACAACAAACACATATTGAATGGCTAATAACTTATAAGCCTAACGATAAATATTTACAAAACTGCCACGTAAGACAGGATGTGTTTAGAAATTGACTCACTCAAAATTTTGTTTCCAGCACGAACATGGAACTTGTCATGAGCATGATAGCCAAAACGCTTCCCTGCATTCATGACTTTTTGTATCCAATGGATTGTGTATCCTCCTGAATAATGATATACTGACGTATCTTCAATATACAGCACCGATTTCTTTTCACAAAATGAACACGTACAGAATAAAACTATAAATTTATATAATTTTTCTTTCTAAACATATCCAGCAGCACGCAATGAGGGGGCTATTTGCAGGAGATGCGACACAAAAAATAAAACGCATTATGTCTATCTGGTTTGAGATCCTTCGTGCTCTGGCTTCCAGTTTTGAGATCTCTTGGTGGCTGCTTTCTGTGTCCTGTTCTCCTAAAAGCTCGAGAGCAAACATGTGTTGTTGTATGTGTGGAATACAGTGTTGCTATGATATGTGTGGCTTTGGGATAACTTTGTGGGGAAATAGCGTCTGAATGCGGACATGTAATTGTCGATTGCTACGGAGATTTCTGGAAGTGAAAATTGTTTGACGGTTTCAGATGTGATATTGCAGTGTGAACATGGCTAAATCTTTCATTGAGAAGATTGAATATTGCTTCCAGTCCACTTGCCTCCTCAATTTTTGCAGTTTCGGGGGAGTATTTTCTTGTTTCTGTATAAATTGTGTTTGTTAGTTCCTTACATACATGGGGATGGGGGGAGGTATGCTTGGGGTGTTTTACGATGTTAGCTTGAAATGGATCTTTGTATGCAGCCACCTAAGCGGTACCGACAAAATGGAGAAGGAATTCACATTTATGCTATTGTCAAACGCACACCACATGTTCCTACTGGTATCAACTGCTTTTTTGCGGCATGAATTGACGTGACGTAACACCATATCTCCGTTTGATAGTTGAAATCGCGGTAAAACACTTGACACAAATGTTAGCGGAATACGACTGTTCATTTTCGTCCCTCACATCAATCCCATAAACCAAGAGAATATCTCCTGCCATTGTCTTACATAATCGGGGCTTTCTGTACTTTTTTTGTTTGACAGTTAAATTTAAACGCCAACACACACGACAAAGTTCATTCAGAGACTCTATGCCTCTCATATGTGTGACTGACCCATTGCATTTTAACGATTTTTACTTAGGGACACAATTCACTAACTGATTTCCAGTCACCGCAAAGTGCTGGAAAAACAAAATTCACATCATTAGAAAATATGATTTGATGGCTATCACACCGCGCAAACAGAAATAAAGACCATCGTTCCATTCTCGAATGATTTGTAATTAAATTTGAAGAGATAACATTATTAACGGCGCTTCCGATCACATAACACTCACAATTTAAAACTGTTATTATTCCCAAACGAATCAATGAAAACTGTTGAAACTTTCACAAGATATCAAGAAGACGTAGACGAAATAGGTTCTGTGGGTAGAGTGAGCATCATTTTACGGCTCATGAAATTAGGGGAAGAAACGCGTTCTGATAAGGACAAGATAGGACAGCACTGTGCACGAGTTGACCCCGGTCAATCCCCGACTTGACGCGTGAAATTGCAGGTCACCTGCCGCTAATTTATGGCCTACCGCGGGGGGCCCAGACTAACTAAAAGATCGCTGAGACGGAATTTCGGACGCCGTGTGCTCTCCAGCTGGGTCTGTCAGGTGCAAGGCTCTCCCATGTTGAAGTATAAGTCCTTCAGTAGAAACATGCTCAGTGTGTCTTTGTAACGCTTTTTTGGTACGCCAACCGTACGCTTCCCTGAGGACAGTTCAATGATAAAGCACACTATTAACTTTATCACTCGCTAATACGGCTACCCCCAGTGGGTCGGGGGGATATAAATAGACCCACTGCTCCGCCAGCAGGAGGTGCAACCCCTTCACTGGCGATTTGTCGCCCATGGACATTTACGCTCAGGTGCACATGGGCGACACTTGCTTTGGTGTATCGTCTGTCTTCTATCGTCTTTCTTCCTTCTTCTTTCGTCCTTCCCCGAGCTTACCGGGGAATAAAATAAAAATAGTTGGCTGTCCCATCAACAGGGGGTGTAACCCCCCCGCTGGTGGGATGCCACTCGTACGTCACTAGCTCTCTGACGTAGGGGTGGCATCTTTTGTCCGCTCTTGCTATGTCTTCTATCCATCTATCTTTCTTTCCGTTCTGTCGACCGAAGGTCCGGTCCAGCAAAGAATAGACACCAAACCCCCGCAACGCGAGGCACCCCGTTGACCGTGGGGTGCGACCCGTACGACCGGAGAAGGGGACCCTGGTGGCTGAGGTGTGGCTTTCCTCACCAACACGCTACTTTGGCCCTGGATTCGGTCTAGACGGGCGGGTGCAGTGGCCTACTGCACTCAATCGGTTGCGACCGGTTCATAAAACCGGTTTTGGCCAATCTTGGTTAGAAGGCAAGATTTCTTGCCGTCTGATTGGGATTATACCTCCAGGGTAGCCCTGACACCAGCTATGGACTTCCGAGCGGTGTCCCCTTGTTGGACTCGGTGGCGGGTGGGGAGCCCTGGAGATGAATAAAAACGATTTTTATATGGATATGAAAACAAAAATTTCTCCCCCTACCCCAATTCCCAACAAGTCCCTGTCAGGAGGAGCGGGTGCAAATCCTGACCAGGGCAAAAGAAAACGGATGAGACAAGACGACAATGTCAGTATCTGGGACCTGCCCAGACAAACATCGCTAGGATGGTCACCTTATTTGGTGATCTCCTCAGCAGATGAATCTCAAAAGAAAATTACATCCCTAAGCGTCTTTGCCATTGGCAAAGCTTTTAGAGCCTGTGGCATCCCCAAACCCAAGAAAGTCTCCCCCCAGGGGTCTGGCGACCTCTTGGTGGAGGTTGCCAATGTGGCCGATTCCGTACAATTACGGAAATGTACGTCGTTTGGTGGCATCCCTGTAAGTGTTGAGCCTCACAGGAGTCTCAATACTTCCAGGGGTGTTGTAAAGAGCCGTGACCTAGACGGCTGTACGGAGGAAGAAATGGTACAAGAAATAGAAGGTGTCACCCACGCTCGTCGTGTCATAGTGCGACGAGATGGGAAAGAGATCCGCACCAACACATGGATACTGTCTTTCGACTGTCCAAGACCTCCAACCAAACTGACGATAGAGTACTTGGAACTAGAGGTAAAACCCTACATTCCTAACCCGATGCGCTGTTTTAATTGCCAGCGCTTCGGGCATACAAAATTAAGATGCCGGCGAAATGCTGTTTGCCCTCGCTGTGGCAAGGAGGGTCACACAGAGGAATCCTGCACGTCAGTTCCTCGGTGCCCAAATTGCCAGCAGGGAGGACATCCAGCATATTCGAGGGAATGTCCCAAGTACTCTCAAGAAAAGGCCATCCTAACCCACCGAGCGAAGTTCGGAGGCACCTCTGCCCAGGCTAAGGCAGCCGTCTTCCCGATGGGATTGGAATCAACACAGAAAACAACTTACGCAGACGCTGCCAAGGCAGGCCCCAGAAATGCTGACAACGAAAAAGTAAAATACCAAACCGTGAAGGCGCCACGTACGTCAAATAAAAATAAAAAACCCCAAAAGCGCCACGATAGCCAGGAGGAGGACATGGAGCTCTCCCTCCACACATCCCCTCCAAAACCTCTCTCGACATCTGCACCCCCAGGACCCTCACCATCTCCACCTTCATCATCACAACCATCCTCATCCTCACCACCATCTTCATCCTCACATACATCATCCTCATCCACATCCTCATCCTCACCACGCTCATCTTCATCCCCACCGCCAACTACATTTTCATCTTCACCACCATCATCACCTCCATCCCATCATCCTTCATCCAATAAAGCCCCTCCACCCACTCCCCGCACCCGCTCCCCCTCCTCTACCCGCATCCAGGACTCCGGTCCTCCTCCCCCTCCACACTCTCCCTCAAAAAAAGGCTGCGGTCCACCGTGACCGCAGCAAAACAAAACAAAGACAAAGGTCACCAACGACCAAAAAAAAAAGTATCGAACCCGTGCCTTCAAAATAAATTAAAATGGCAGTTCTTCAGTGGAACATTCGTGGTTTGCGTGCAAACCAGGCAGAACTCTCTTATCTTTTGACTTCACACACCCCAAATGTAATCTGTCTACAAGAAACTAAATTGCCAACACCCACATTCACATTAAAAAACTATCAAACTTACAACCAAATATACACCGACAACCAAAAGGCCTCTGGGGGCAACTCCATTTTAATAAATAACCAAACTCTACACAGACAAATACAACTAAACACAACACTTCAAGCAGTTGCGGTCAGGGTCACCCTACACCGTCCTATAACTATCTGTTCAATATACATCCCCCCAAATTATCCTCTATCTTTAAGAGAACTAATAAACCTCAGAGACCAGCTCCCACAACCCTTCATCATGTTGGGAGATTTTAATGCCCATAGCCCTCTTTGGGGAAATGAACCAACTGATACTAAAGGTAAAATCATAGAAGATTTCTTAATAAAAACCAGTACTAGTATTTTTAACGACAATTCCCCAACATTTCAAAATTCAAATAACCTAAACGTTTCATCCATAGATTTAACCCTTTGTGATCCTGACCTAATTCCAGACTTTCAGTGGTCGGTCCTGGACGACCCACACGGATCGGACCACTTCCCCATCACCCTAATTCCAGACATTCCACACCGAACTCCTATCCCAGACCGTTTCAATCTTAAAAGAGCGGACTGGGATGGGTTTCACGTGGAATGTCTGGAGAAACGCAATCCATCTCAAACACAAACACAAACTTTTGAACGATTTCATGAAACCCTTCTCGAGATCGTTCAAAAACACATACCAAAATTATCCACCAAAACCCGAAGAAATAAATGTTGGTTCACTGAAGACTGCCAAAAAGCTGTTGCGGCCAAAAAATCAGCTCTCAGGAAGTTCGTCAACTCTAAAACTAACGAAGACCTCATTAATTTCAAAATTGCGCGAGCCCAAGCACGCAGAAAAATCAGAACAGCCAAGAAAACATCTTTTCGAGATTATGTCTCAAAAATCAACAACAACACACCAATGCACAAAGTCTGGAAGATGATAAAGAAATTAAAAGGTACTAAAAAAGACACAATTAAACACATCCTTAAACCGAATAACTCCTACGTAGAAACCGAAAAAACAGTTGCTGACTGTATAGCATCAACTCTCTCCGGAAATTCCTCTACCCACAATTACAACCCTGAATTAAAAAAAGTAAAAATGTCTTCTGAAAAGACAACTGTTGATTTTACCTCTTCAAATGAAGAACACTATAATTGCAGCTTTTCTCTTAACGAATTAAAATGTAATATTGCAGAACTATCAAACACAGCTCCAGGCCCTGATCAAATACACAACGAAATCATCAAACGTCTTCCAGACGAAACACTCCTATTACTCCTTGATATTTACAATGAACTCTGGCATTCTCAACAATTTCCGAACAGTTGGCGTCTTGCCACTGTTATACCAATCCCAAAACCAGGAAAAGATCACTCTAACCCTTCAAACTACCGTCCCATAGCCCTTACAAACTGTTTCTGTAAACTTATGGAAAAACTTATTAACAAACGACTAATGTGGTTTCTCGAAACCTCAAACTCCTTATCCAATTTTCAATGCGGTTTTCGCCAAAATCGCTCTACTATTGACCATCTCGTCCGACTTGAAACTTTCATTCGGGAAGCTTTCATTCGAAAAGAGCACCTTGTGGCTATTTTTTTCGACTTAGAAAAAGCATTCGACACCACATGGAAACATGGTATTCTGAAAGACCTGCATGACTTGGGCTTACGCGGAAATCTTCCAGAATTTATACGAAACTTTTTGAAAGATCGATCATTTCAAGTCAAAGTAGGTTCAACATTATCATATTTACACACCCAAGAAGAAGGCGTCCCCCAGGGAAGCATCTTATCGCCCATTCTTTTCGAAATCAAAATAAATTCCATCACAAAAACCCTTCAAAACAATATTGACTGCTCACTTTATGTTGACGACTTCCTGATTTGCTATAAATCCAAATCCAAAATGGATCACATTGAACGCCAGCTTCAGCTTCAACTCCATAAACTGGAAACTTGGGCAAACGGGCACGGGTTCAAATTTTCCACAGTAAAAACAAACTGTGTGCATTTTTGTCTGTCGCACAAGTGTGTGCGACAACCAGACTTATATTTGTTTGGAGAGAAAATTCCTGTTAAAAAACAAGCTCGTTTCCTGGGCGTAATCTTCGACAATAAACTTTCTTTCCTACCACACTTGAAAGACCTAAAGACGAGGTGCCAGAGTGCTCTCAACGCCTTAAAAGTATTATCCAATCCTGAATGGGGAGGAGATACTGAAATACTCCTTCAACTTTACCGTTCTCTTGTCCTTTCCAGGCTGGACTATGCCAGTCCTGTTTACGGATCAGCCAGAAAGTCTTACCTTAAAATTTTAGACCCTGTTCAGAACCAAGGCCTTCGCCTTGCCCTAGGCGCTTTCCGTACTTCACCTGTAGAAAGTTTACAGGCAGAAGCGCATGAACCATCTTTGGAACTTAGAAGGAAAAAACTCTCTTTGCAGTACGCTTTGAAACTTAGCTCAGTACCCCAAAACCCAGCCCACAAATGTGTCTTTGGCCTTCCCGAAGACCTAAAAACTCTATCCTCCTTAGGAAATAAAGTAAGCCCTTTCGGAATAAGAATCCAGAACGATCTCAAAGACATTGATTTTTCTGAAGACATAATCGAGCCCTTTGTCATGTCCAGCATACCTCCATGGCATTTAACCAAACCAAACATAGATACTAGTCTTGAAAAACACAACAAAAAGTCCACAGACAAAACTACATACTTAAACTCATACAAACAGCTGATAAATAGATACCCTGAAGCAGAGAAACTCTTTACAGACGGATCCAAAAATGACTCCGCAGTAGGAGCTGCTGCCCTTGCATCGCCACACAGCTTAAGCTTAAGGAAACTCCATCCAGAGGCTTCAGTCTACACTGCTGAGGCTACAGCTCTTGAAATGGCCCTAAATATTATAGATCAATCAACCAAGTCTACCTTCTTAATCCTTTCAGACTCTCTCTCTTGTCTGAAATCTTTAGAGCGCTCTGACACCTCCGACAACAGAATTTTGAAACTTATCATTAAACTGCATTTTCTACATCAGTCTGGAAAAACTATTACAATAGCTTGGCTTCCAAGCCATGTAGGCATTGATGGCAACGAAGCCGTTGACCAATTTGCCAAAGAATCTCTAAAACTACCTGAAAACAAAAATAGTAAAATCCCTTTCTCTGACATGAAACTGAAAGTAAAAGAACACATCACATCCTCCTGGTCCCAAAGTTGGAATCAACAAATACACAACAAACTCCATTACATTCAACCGAAACTTACGCCCAGGAAACCATTTTCTCTACCACGAAAGGAAAAAGTAATTTTTACCCGACTAAAAATAGGACACACGCACGTCACGCACAAACATTTGCTCGAAGGAGAGGAAGCTCCTTTTTGCGTGGCGTGCAACACAGATTTCACAGTTCGGCACATCCTAATGGAATGTGTCGACTTTAATTATGTCCGTGATAAATATTTTAAATGTAACGATATTAAGACCCTTTTTAACATCATAGAACCTAAAAGAATTTTAAGTTTTATAAAAGAAATTGGACTGTTTAATAAAATGTGAAAATATATAGTTGTCGTTGTCGGTGTATATATACATACACTGAGATTTGTATTGTATATACAAATGTAAATAAGCCTTTTCCATATTTACAAAATTTTTTTATAAATGTTTGTTCGTCTTTTTAGCATAATAGAAATAGTGTGATCGTTTGCGGTTGCGAGCTCCGAAAGACTCTTTATTAAAAACACGTCTGATTTTGTAGCGGTGAAACCAAAATTGTGTCGATAGTGCCGTAAAACATCTACCCAATCAATCAATCAATCAAAGCTAATACAGCAATGCTGATCGTCGCATTGTGCAGCTCTTTTTTAATATATATATATTGTATTTTGTGGGGGTTTTTGTTGCTAACGTTAGGGTTATTTTGTCACCGTTATGACAACCCACCTGCCTTAAAGCCACGTCACCGGCATTACTTCTAACTTACTCTCTCCCTATACCGTCAGGTACGTAAGGCAAGGCAGAGAGCAGTCGTGGGTGGTTGGCGGATGCTCTGGTGTGGTTTGCTTCTTCTTTCCTTTCAAACATCTATTGTCTTTATCTTCCCTCCTTCTTTTTTGTGTTTGTTACTCTCTTGTAACACCTCCAATCTTTGGCAGTTATATAACCTTATTGTGTTGAAAGTGCCGTAAACAAACGTATAAATACTGAAAAGAGAGCAGTCGATGCCACGTTTGTCTGTCCCTGGCCACGTCCTCCAATTTCGGCAAATCCAGGCCCTGGACGGTTGCCTCATCCTTTATCGTGCCTCTATATTATACCTTCCACCGATATTGCTTGATATTATATTGCGGTCTGGAGATGCCATCTCTGACTCCGAGGTTGACGTGTATTGACCCTCCACCCGTCACGGTTGTGAGGTACCGTTGCACATTCTGCCATACCAAGAATAGTCTATGTTTTTTATGTTGTAAGTGCCGTGCTGTAAAACGCTTACTAAAACTAAGAACCATCTTCTGAATGATCCAAATGATGTCGATAGAGGTGTAAAAAAAATAACTTCACTAATTTTTTAACTCCCTCTCTCCCCTTCCTTCGACAACAACAGGACGTGAACCTGACCTGGTACCAGACATGGCCGCAGATGACGTCATGCTTCCAGGACACGGTGCTGGTGTGGGTGCCGTGCGGCTTCCTGTGGCTGGCAGCTCCCTTCTACACAGCTCACCTGGCCGGTGTCCCCAGCGCGGGCCGCGGGGCCAGCTTCACGCCGCTGTTTGTGGCCAAACTGGTGAGTGAGTGAGGGGGCCATAGATTTGTGTATCAGCTTCACGGCACTGATTGTGGCCATGCTGGTGAGTGAGTCATGGGGCCTTAGATTTGTGTATCAGCTTCACAGCGCTGGATCTATCGTCCTGGCCTCTGCTCCTTCTTTTTTTGTGTGTTTGTTACTCTCTTGTAACGCTTCTAATCTTCGGCACTTATTTGACCTTAATGTGTGGCAAGTGCCGTTAAACTCTTACTAAAACAAAAGTAAGATAGTGCACTCTGAGGTATTTCTGGTTCCCTTTGGAACGAAGCCTCCTGCCACCCTAAATACTGAGGCCAAGAGAGAAGTCTGCGAGATGTGCTCACCCACAAGTTGAAATGAGGCTTTTAAATACTAAAAAAATGGAATGTGGTTTTTCTCTGCTAGAACTCGTCTCATTGGCCATAGCAGAAACCACAAATCATCTTTATCCTACTTTCTTCTATTTCTTTTTAAGAAGGAATAATATTCTCCTACCTCTGCTTATGCATTGGTCATCGTCAGACATTGATGAAGTAACTATTATGAAATACCCCATATGTGTGACTCTGTTTGGGCCAAAGAAGGGGCAAGGAGGGAAAGTCCAACGCGCACTGAACTACAGGAAGAATGGTGTTCTTTTCCCTTCGTTAAGATCATGTAATGGCACTGCCTATGGTGCCCAAACAGTAGGAATGAGAATGAAATAAATTACCTCTTTTATTGACTAAATGGGCTGCTCACTAATAAAAATAATGAGGAAGAGGCAAATGCACTTTCTGGGACACTTTAATCAACAAAAAGGGCAGGCACATCATGCTCTCACTGGATCGAAAAACAGTCTGAACTAACCCAAACCAACTCAGACCATCTCGACCTGATCCGAACTGATCTGTACCTCCCAAACAAACCCAAACCCAAACTGAGCTAAACCTATTTAAAAGCGAGGCATCATGGTGAAATCAGATGGTTCTCAAAATAATGAAATTGAAAAAAATGACATTTTTCCACTCATTGGGGGCGATTGTGATAGATTTTTTTTTTTAGCTCAACATCTTTCATATCCATTTAAAAATGCATTTTTGTGTAGATCTTACTGAAAAACATTGATCAAAAGCCACAAAATGTAATTTTGCTGTTTCCAACGACTCTTAAACTTTAGAATTCACCAAACTTTTTGGCCATGTTAAGGCTAAATTTTCCTCAGGAGCATAGTGACCCCCACCTCCTTCAATCACAAACATCTCAACTTTTATTCAAGATAGATGGGTTTTAAGAGTTGTTTTTTTTTAACGAAAAGCTGAACAAACTAACAAGCTGTAAAATTATACCAATAACTCCAAATGCTCAAAAATCAATGAGCACCTAATTCAACCATGTCATGACGCAAACGATGTTTTTCTCTTATCCCCAGGCTGGTCTTGTCTTGCTGCTGATGATGTCAGTTGTGGATGTGGTCAGTGCCATCAACGAAAACGACCGTCAGGGAATCAGCCTGCTCAAGGCTAACGTTTTTGCTGCTGCTCTGCTGTCAGTCACACTTGTGAGTTGGTTGTTTTTTTAAAATCATAGCTCAGTCAGAGTCTGATAATAGTGCCCTCAAGTCTGCTGCCAAACTTAAAGGGACAATTTTCAAGCCTTACCAAAATTATAGTTTTCAATGCACTGTTTCGCTCGTGCACAATATTGAATTGTCAAAAGGCCTTTCAAAGCATTTTAGTTTAAGAAATTATAGGTTCCATCATTGTAGTTCGTGGGACTCAGCAGATTTGCAATCAATATATGAAATTCCTGTGAAATGCCCTGAAAATAGCACTTGCTCCCAGCTACTGAACTCTAGATTTGAACTAAAGTTTCAGATTTTTTTTATCGCACTTTTCTATTGATCGAGTGTTTAAAGGGGCTTTAGACCAACACCACATGTCTGCCAAAAGTTTCAATTAAATTTTACCTTTGAGTGGTTCCTCTGACTGGCATCCGTGGTGTAGCATTAAGGAGTTTTGCCATCGCACACAGAAAACCCGGGTTCAGTGGGGAGAATTTTCTTTGAGTGTCTCAGTCTTTCTCCTGGGACGTTGTATCCCTCAAAGCCTGGGATGGCCATGACAAGCTGGGTTGAAGCCTGCCTCCTAAAATGATTAAAATTTATTTTTGGGGGGTTCCTCAGGTTAGTTTGTGGTCTTTCAGAGCTTTTAACTGTCATCTTTGCAATGTCCTACAGTTTTGTTTTCCCTTCTTTCTCCTCAGTTGTTGGCACTTCTTTTTGTGATAGCAGAACGGAGGAAAAGATTTGTCACCTCAGGCGTGATGTTTATATTCTGGCTGCTGCTCACCATCTGCAACATTGTGCCATTCTACTCTTACATTGAGGAACAGGTAACCACTTGGGATGTGGGCGTGGTTGGTGGGTGCTAAAGCTTGGTCTGCTCCTTTTGCTTCTTTCCAGTGATACTGTTGGTGTTGTTGTGACCTAATTCAGGACTGAAGTGTGGGTGGCTGACAGGTGTTCTTGTGTGATTTGCTTCTTCTTTCCTATCAAGCCTTCGAGATCCTTATCTCTGTTCCTTCTTTTCTATGTTTGATACTCTCTAGTAACACCTCCAGTAACACATGTATGGCCTATTATATTTGTGTTGCAAGTGCTATAAAACTCTTCTTCATCATCATCCAGTGCCAGATCTGCGACAGACATCGGCCATCATGATTTTCCATTCATTCCTTTGCTCGGATGCTCTCAGAAAAGCTACGTTTCCCTGATCTTTCCCTGTTACCCATTTGTTTTGGTAAAAACTCTTACTCAAACTAAAAAAGACTCAGTGCTGAAGCCAAGAGAGAACCCCTCAAGCTGCTCACATCCATGGATGGAAATGAAGCTTTTAATACTTTGCTGTCACTTGGCACGATAATACGACAGTGAAAATTATCCGTTCCAGTCACCTGGCGCAGTACAGTACAGTACTTTTTTGTGATAGCTTTGTGTCCCTGTACAAAGAAGCATGTTAACTGGAATGAAAACTTTTGAGTGGGTGGTTGGCGGATGCTGTAGTGTGGTTTGCTCCTTCTTTCCTATCAAACGTCTATTGTTCTTATATCCCCCCTACTTCTTTCTTGTGTTTGTTTCTCTCTTGTAACACCTCTAATCTTCAGCACTTATATGACCTTATTGTGTTGCAGTCACATAGCCAGCAGTACAAAATACCCGATCCGGTCACCCAGCCAGGAGAGCGATTGCAACGGACTTCACGGACCTGGCGGGACCGGAACAGATAATTTTCTGTGGTGCATTATTGCTCCAAGTGACCGCCCGCAAAGTGTTAAAACTCTTACTAAAACAAAATGTACCTTTTCTTTTCAGATTTACGACTCTGACGTGTTTGAGTTCTCCATATTCTACATCCAGTTTGCCTTCATCGTCACACAGCTGTTGCTGCACTGCTGGGCAGAGAAGCCTGTGCTCACATACGCTTCCCCTAAAGTGAGTTTGTTGTTCTTCTGTTAACAGATGAACATGTCTAGACATTGGGTTATGTTTTGTGTTTTTTGTTTGTTTGTTTTTTAATTTTTTAATTTTTATTTTTTATTTCCTATTTCATTGATTTTTTTTTTTTTATTGGTTGAAAAACGTGCATATACACTGTAGACTTAACAATACATACATATTAATCCTATATAAAAATATCGCTGATGTAATAAGCTTTCACGCATCTTGCATGCTTATCAATGCATTAACTAATATTCCAAATATTTGAAGGATCTGCAATCAAGACATTGTTTTGTGGTGTAGTAGTTTCCCTGTTTATCCTGCTTTCAAAAGATAGCAGTTTGATGTCCTTGTGGATAGAAGTTTTCGACCAGCATTTTCATTCTTCTGCCAGAATGGAGTGCCCCTCTCACCTTGCTGTTGTGGGGACGGGCCAGGTCTGAGCAGTTTACCTTTTAAAAGTTCTTTTATGACCTGAAATGTATCATTGGGGATGCAAAACTTTCAAAGTCAATCAGTACTGATATAGAGGGAAACAAAACAATACAGACAAATCTACTCTAACACTACTAACAGCCACCTGTATAAGACAATCGTTTATACAAATGGCCAATTCCTTTTTACCCCCTTTCATCTTTTGTACCTTAAAATGACGCTGAGTAAGACGGTTGCATGTCTAAGTGGGCCACTGTTTTCCTCGGCAATGAGCAGCTGTCTTAGACAATTACGACTGTAAATGAGGATTGGTTTTCTGTTTAATAATAATTTGCTTTACAGCTGTGTGTAGATATCCAAAATCAAACAATCTGTCATTGCATCACACATCATTTGTAAGCAATCTTTCTCTAGTGCATGTATTTCTTATCTTTATATATGTGTGTACTTTGCATTCGTGAGCATATATGTTCTATGTGAGTGCGGGAGATCTCAGTGTAGAAAAAGTGAGAGAGAAAGACACAAAGAGAGAGGCACAGAGAGAGAGAGACACAGAGAGACAAAGAGAAAGAAAGAGACAAAGAAAAAGGGAGAGAGAGAGAGAGAGAATTTGAATGCATACATATGCGTTGGGGATATATGATACATACAGAGCGAGAGAGAGAAAAATTGAGTTAACACAGTGTAATGATGATGCACACAGCTGTATTGAAAGTGTAGTCCGCGTATTTATTTTAGTTCAGTTGTTAATGTTGCAAAGCACCAAGAGCCACTCTGAAATGGACGCTGTGTACGTAAACTTTGTTATTATTGTTACTGATATATTGTTATTATTGTTATCACCATCATTATTTTTTAATGAAATGTTGTTGTCTTATCATATTCAGAAACCAAGCCCAGAGTTAGGCGCTTCTTTTCCATCGCGACTGACTTTCTGGTGGCTTAATAAGTAAGTGGTTTGCATTGACTTTTTTCTAGAGAGTGTGAAAAAGAAACCCCCCTGTCAATTCAGTATAGTTAGATTATGGTTTGCTTTTCTGTGCAGTGCAGGCGAGTAACGTGTTTGAGTGGGCTAACATAATTGTTAATTCTTTCCAATGGAGGATCAAGCAGTATAATTGAATTATCACATTCTGACATGTGAAGAGTGGAGATACAATATCTGCCTTGATATCTTTTGTCCTCTCCAAGATATCTTAAGTTATCTTAAAGTTGGCTGCTAAGTGTGGGGGATAAGGGATTTGAGACGATCTGGGCTACTGGGTTGGTTTTGTGTAAGACTTATTAGTTTCAAAATAATGAAAGAAAAAAAAAGTAATAATAATATACCTAGGACATGCTAATCTGTCGAACACCATGTCATTTTCTCACAAAAAATAGTCGAGGAAAGTTCCTCAATTTGTGATGTGCAGCAGAGTTACATCTTTAGCATTGTGCCCACTGTTTGATTGCTCCCATGTCTCAATGAATATTTAACTGTGATGGGTGGTTGATGGGTGCCCTGGTGTGGTTTGCTCCTTCTGTCCTATCAAACATCTATTGTCCTGATCTCTCTTCCTTCTTTTTTGTGTTTGTTACAGTCTTGTAACACCTCTAGTCTTCAGCCTTTATTTGTGGATGGTTGGTGGGTGCTCTGGTGTGTTGTGCTTCTTCTTTCCTATCAAACTCTGTCGCCCTTATCTCTCCTCCTTTTTTTGGTATTTGTTACTGTCTTGTAACGTGTCTAATCTTCAGCACTTATATTACCTTATTGTGTTGCAAGTACCGTAAAACTCTCACTAAAACTAAAGAAAACTCTCTAACCATCCACCAAGGTTGATGCTGCAAGGCTACAAAACACCCATCACCGAGTCAGTCATGTGTGACCTTCACCCTCGGGATAAGTGCGAGTCTGTTGTCCCTCGCTTCCTACAGCGCTGGATATATGCTGTCAGGCTAAAAAAAGTCAAGTATGTTTGTTGCTTCAGTGATCTGGGTTAGATGGTCTGCTGTGCTGTGTTGTTGTTTTTTAAAAATCTAGATTTATCTTCAGATTATTATTAGCACTTCATATCCCTGAATCATTAACCCACTTCAATTTCTATCCATTCTCTTATATAACTCTAATTGTCACCTGTTTCCATGGCCGTGTTCATCCAATGGGGGGTGGGGGAGGGTAGGGGGGTAAATTTTGAATAGATGCTTTAAGAGTTCCCATGAAATCATTTTAGAGGGATAAATGACTTTAAAAATGCATGAAAGGCTAGTTTTATTGAGAGAAAGTATGTTCTTCTATGTGTGTTCTCAGGACAGCTTGGGCGATCTGTTAGCTTAGTTGGTACCATGCTGGACCGTGAAGCGAATGGTCCTAGTTCGAATCCCAGACAGGTCATTCTTAAACTCAAGTCATTTTGTGGAGTCTTCAAGACTCTCGGCCCATCTGACTTGGTCCCATTAGAGACTGAATTTAAATTCGGAGGTCCCACTTTTTGACCCTATCCGTAGTCCTGGGGTCATTTTGTACCCCCAGTGTTGTATTCTTCATAATTTAAAATACTTCTAGTGCGAAGGTCTCTTTGAAACTTTCAGTATTTCTCAAAAAATCATTTTGACAGACTGCTATTCAAAGCGTACGGATCGGATTAACGAGTAAATATCCTCTTTGGAAAGTGGTGGCACAAAGTTCCCCTATTCGTATGGATAAGTAGAGCACGATGTACAGATAGGGTTAAATAACCTTATAGTGTTGATAGGGACGTTAATCCCATACATTTACGTTCACATTTTTCACAGGACAGCTGTTCGGTCACAAATGCAAGTGAATTCCTTCTACTCAGGCAACGTCAATGCCGAACCAGTGTCAGAACGAACTCCTCTGATCCGAGGACAGCCCAACGGTTCCTTGTCTTCAGAGAACCAAAAGTCCACAAAGGTTAAGAGGAAAAAGTCTGGTCCATCGCTGGTTGGTGTTCTGTTCAAAACCTTTTGGATGGAGTACTTTCTGAGCCAGATCTGGAAGCTTTTCTACGATGTTCTTGTCCTGTGCAATCCATTGCTTCTAGGGTGAGTCTAGTTTGTTTTTTGTTAATCTAAGTGTATCTCTGTGTACATATGTGTATGGACATCTGTATGTGTGTGTATCTGTGTGTGTGTGTGTTTGTATGTATAAATTTGTGCATTTGTGTGTGTGTGTGCGTGTGTGTGTGTGTGTGTGTGTGTGTGTGTGTGTGTATGTGTGTTTGTGTATAGAAATGTGTTTTTGAATGTGTGTTTGTATTTATGTGTATGAGTGTTGGGGTGAGACAGAGGGATACAGAAAAGTGACTGAACAGACTCTGTTTGGTTTTGGTAACTATTTACTCATTTGCACTTCATGCCAAATGTTGAAGATTCTTCTTTTATAAGAAAATATAATAAAGAACTCAGACTGGGAACATCTTCACTCTAATGTACCCCTTACAGACTTCCCAAATGATACAAATGGTTCGTTGGTTGCAGTGCTGGTTTTGATGAAGTGATGACAAAATTTGTCCAAAAATTACCTAAATATTGTGTTATATGTGTGCTTGTTTGTATGTGTATATTAGTGTATCGGCGGTTTGGTGGATATATTTACCACATGGCAACAAATTTGTCTTTATTATGGAGATCAAGAAAATAATGTGATATTATCTTATTTTATCTTTCTATAATCATATTGGAAACATGAGAGTCTTTATTATACTTACTTTAACTTACTTTACATTTCCGATCCAGGGGCCATTTAAGTTCTAGCCCTTCATTCTGTCAATGTGGCAAAGAATCTGTCTTTATTGTACCGGAAAATCAAAAAGCGTTTAACTCTTTGACCATGTCTGGACAGTGGCAGCGTCCGGTAGTTGAAGTATGTAACCATGGCTGGATGGTACCACCATCCAATGTGAAGTTATTATTATATTATGGTACAGGCCGAAAATAAAATAAGTACGACCTAACAAGCCTTTATTTTGACCCGGAAGTCAAAGATATGAATTCTACATCTGGGTAATGCTTTATCAGTCAATTTGACACGAAACAAGCGTTTTTAAAAGCGCAGTATGTCGGGTCGCATTTCCTCAAACACGAGAGAAGTACCCAGAAACATGATTTTAAATTGCATGGTTAAAGAGTTAATGAAATGTCGTCTGTCGTGGGTCACAGTGAGCTGGTCACCTTTGTCCAAGACCCCAAGGAACAAGCCTGGAAGGGTTACATCCTAGCCCTGGGCCTCTTCTTCTCCACTTGCCTGCAGACCCTGCTCTTCCACCAGGTGTTCCACCTGTCCACCTCGCTGGGCCTGAGGATACGCGCCTCTGTCATCTCCTCCGTCTTCAGAAAGGTGAGCTGCCCGCTGCTCGGGGAATGTTGCCTCAGATAGAAAATGGGGGGTTTTTTGGTTTGTTTTTTTATTGTTCTGAAAGATGAGTCACTTCTCAGGGAATGTTGTCTTAGATAGAAAATGTAATTTTTTATTTTTTATTATTGTTCTTAAAGGTGAGCCGGCCACTGCTTGGGGAATGTTGTCTCAGATAGAAAATGTTTAAAAAAAATAATTTTAAGTTATTGTTCTGAAAGATGAGTCACTTCTCATGGAATGTTGTCTTAGATAGAGAATGTTATTTATTATTTTTTTTATTATTATTTTGAAAAATGAGCCGGCCGCACTGCTCATTGGGGAATGTTGTCTCTGATAGAAAATGTTTTTTTTATAATTTTTTAAAAGTTATTGCTCTGAAAGATGAGTCACTTGTTGTGGAATGTTGTCTTAGATTGAAAATGTTCCTTTTTTATTATTTTATAATTATTATTTTGAAAGATGAGTCATTTCTCAGGAAATGTTGTCTTAAAATCTAATAATACGAGATAGAAGATGTTATTTATGTTATGATTATTATTATTATTATTATCATTACACAGAAAGATGAGCCGAGGGAATGTTGCCTTAAAATCTTATAATAACAGATAGAAAATATCAATTATGATTTATTATTATTGTTATTCAGATAGGTGAGCCGCTTTCCAAGGAATGTGGCCTTAAGATTTCATCAAGGACGTGATATAGTAATAGTAATGCAGATCATTCCTGCAGCGCCTACTACTATACATTACAGCTCTAGATGCTTTACAATGCCTTCATTTCAACACAAAATACATGAGCATGAATGCTTGAACATATGTGAGTTGTGCTGACAAAATGAGTTACTTCTCGCAATCCGCAAATGGAGATATTGGCCAAAAATCGACACCAGGGTCACTTTGTAGATTTTCTATTAGTGCCATATTCTTTAAGTATAACATTCCTTTAATTATTTCATATTTTAAAATTATTTTAAAAACTTCACCAATAAGCGTGATGTATCTATTTCCGTAAGGCTCAAATCTGAGAAGTAACTCTTTTTGTCAGCTCGCTTCACATATGCTTCTTAGATTACTGCTAAGACATAAGCAGACATTCATACTATCACAGTACAATCTGACAATGTGTTCATAACATGAAGAACATAAAAGTTCTAGAACACTATAAATAGTGAGGACTATCAAGATAGAACTTCATAAAGTATATATTTTTAAAAATAAATTGTAAATTTTGCCTCCAACTTTGTATTTCTAAATAAATCAACATATATTTTTTACTCAATGTGTTGAGTAGGGTCACATTTGAAACCATCTGTTGACTTTGTCAAGTCTAGTATGTGACTATAACTCAAACCCTGTCCTAAGCGGCCACCTGCTGCTTATAACAGATCACTTTTCTCTGTGATCTTGAGTGACAATAATGAACAGGTTCCATTGTAAATGTTCGAAGATGGTGATTCAGGATTTCATTTCAAAATGGAAACGTTACTGAAATGGCTGTCTGTGTTTTTTCAGGCCCTGACCATGGACAACGCGGCACGTAAAGAGTCAACGATCGGCGAAGTTGTCAACCTGATGTCAGTGGACGCGGAGCATCTGGAGAACATCATGAGCTACCTGTGGGCCATCTGGTCGAGCCCGCTACAGATCTTGGTCTCTCTCTACCTGCTCTACGACACAGTCGGTGAGTGCTCTCTGTCATACATTGCTAGACCCATAACACAGCAAGGCCCACTCTGGGGGGAGGAGAAATAAGGCAATTTCCAAATGTTGTTTTTTTCATTTCACTGCAAGTGATGTCTTACTTCGCACTCGAAAACTGTTACAAACTTTTCCTAGTGTGTGCGGGGGCTGAAGTTATAGTATTTGCCTCATGTAGCGTTGAGCTACACCAAACAAGTTGCCATTTCTAGAAAGAGAAAAGCAGATGTAGTACTCTGTCACTTTGTCCTTCCTCATTTCTCCCATGTAACCTCCCCAGGTTTGTCCATGTTTGCCGGGGCTGCTTTCCTCATCTTCCTCATCCCGGCCAACGGCGTCATCACGGCCAAACTGGGCACCTTGCAGACACAGCTGATGGCGTGCAAAGACGAGAGGATGAAGGTCATGAACGAGCTACTCAGTGGGATCAAGGTTTGAGTCTTTCTAAAACAACCTAGAGTCTTTGACGATATAAACGCAATTATTAATATTGTTATTGTTATTATTGTTGTTGCTATTATTATAATTTTTATTATTGTTATCATTATCACCTTGTTCATGTGGTGGCCAGGGAAAATCAGGGATGAGTCACAATGTTCAAAGTCAAGCAATAAGCAAAATATGTTCAATTATGAGTCACAGGTAAAAAAATTAGACATAATCTCTCTCTTTCCAAAAACTAAATTCTTGCATTATACACATGTTATCTATCTATCTATTATTACTATTATTATTATTATTATTATTATTATTATTGTTATTATTGTTATTCTTAAAAGGTTGCCCAAAATATTGTCATTAAATAGTATTTTATTGCTGCAACGTCCATTACAACACCATTAAGCACAAGTAGACTCTCCTCATGTTAATGTAACTCCCATCTCCAGTAAGACTTGAAACTTTCCCACACAATTCATGTTTAAGAACATAAAATTGGGGATTCGAATTCTGTCTTCCCCTCCATAGCCACATGTGATGCTGACTGAGCTAACGGCTTGCCCTTTCAGATTGTGAAGCTGTTTGCGTGGGAGAAGAGCTTTAAGCGGCGCGTTCTGGAAGTCCGAGACGCGGAGTTGAGCAAGCTGAGGACGGGAGCTTTGTTGACAGCCATCTTGACCTTCTCCTGGACTGCTGCCCCTTTTGTGGTAAGTCTCATAACGTTCTGAGAGAGGTTCTTTCTTTGGGAAAAGGTGGAGAATGCGTTTGTCTTTTATTTATGTGTATAACATTCTTGATCCCAAGCAAGGACACTGGGGTAAGAGATTTCAAGAACCTGGGATATAGACTCAAACGTTACCCTCAGAACATGCTTCCCTTAATTGGACATCGAATCAGTTTCTTTGGCGGGAGAGGCAAGCAGCTATCCCTAGGAGTTATAATAATAATAATAAATTACATTTATATAGCGCTCAACCCTGAATAAAGTACACAGGCTCTGAGCGTTTTACAATACAGTACAACATACAACTGTAACATAAAACATTATGAGTCTCCAATACTTATTACAAGGATAAAACGAAAGAGGAGAGACAGAGAGACAGAAGACAAAGGCATGCTCTGACATGCAGAGAAAGTAAAAGACAAAGTCAACATACTTAATATTTTTTTTTACATGGACTAATTCTGTCTTTGTGAGATCAGTATAATTCTGTCATTGTCTTGGTAGCAAAAGTATATGAACTAATTTCTGATTGCGAGATCAATAAAATCTTGTCATTGCCATGGTAACGAAGGCTTCAACTGTTCCCTCACTCAGGTTTCTCTGCTGACCTTCCTGTGCTACGTGTTCACCTCAAACGATCACTATCTGGACCCCAAAAAGGCCTTTGTGGCCATTTCTCTCTTTGACATCCTTCGCTATGCAATCAACTTTGCCCCCATGATTGTCTCTGATTTAATCAAAGTAAGTACAGATGTTTGTTCCTTTTTTTGTGTGGTTGTTGGCAGGTGCTTCTGGGTGGGATCTACTTCTTTAGTTTTAGTTTTAGTAATAGTTTTACGGTACTTGCAACGCAAATAAGTCATATAAGTGCTGAAGGTAAGAGATTTTGCTGGAGAGTAATATGTAGAGAAAAGGATGAGAGATAAGGACAATAGAGGTTAGATAGGAAAAAAAGAGCAAACCACACCAGAGTACCTGCCAACCACCCACATATACATCTTTATTTCTTCTACGGTTGTTTTTTTGTCTGTCTGTAAGTCTTACTTTTTTTTCAACCTTTATATGACTGTTGCCGTGTGGATGTGTTTGTCACTACTGAAAAACTGCTTTTTTAAAAATTATAGTTTCTGACTGTTATATGTACCCATTCACACAATTTAGGTCATTTTGGAGGTGGTTTTCGTCTCCCTGCCCATGCTGCATGCTAGACTTAATGATATATCTTGCAGAGAGATAATGGATGATCTATCTTCCCAAGATGTTCAATGATATATCCTACTGAGATAATGGATGATACATTTTCCCGAGGTCCAGGATGAAAAGTCCTTCCTGAGATACTTGATAATATATATTCCTGAGGTATACAATGATACATCCTCCCAAGAGACTGGACAAAACATCTTTCTGTGACATTCAAAGATATATGTTCTCGAGATCCTGGATTTATATATCTTCCGAAGGTACTGGATGATACATCTTCCTGAGATACTCACTGATATTATCTTCCTTATTTGGGAATATAACTCATGCCTCATTGCAAAGAGCCTGACCATTACGTCACAGTCTTCTAAGTTTCTTGTCCATTAAACATGACTGGTGCCTAAATATTTATTTGGTTAACGTTATATCTAACCACATACCGAATCTTTTCACAGGCGGTCATATCTGCTCGTCGTATCGGTCACTTCCTGTATCATGATGACCTGGACAAGAACAGTGTCTCTCACTTTGAGAATGCAGGTGAAGAGTACTTAGATAGCCCCTGACCCTTTGTAATAAATATATAAGAATGCTCCCAATATTGTGTCCATGGGAAAGGCACTTTACATGAGATTTAGTTTGGTTTTACTGGAGAATGATGTTAAGATTGGAGATCTTTCCACTGCTAAAATAAACTTACAGTGTTGCAAGAGACGTTGAACCCTAAACAAATTGGTCACTGCACTTAGAGTGATATTGCTGAATACCATAGTCTCTCTCGCCAGTTGATTGAGGAGGAAAATAGGGAGGCAGAAGCCAGTACTGCCATTGAGAGGATGATGCTTTTGGGAATACAAAAAGGAAGCGGAAAATCTGGCATCCTTGCAGGAAAGAACAGAAGAACATTCAACCAGTTATGCACTGGCACAATCAGTGGAAAGACCCATGGCGACATTTTTGAGAGAGCAACGGAGCATCAATGGACATGCCCGGAGTGCAGGAATGTTGCTTCCTGAAACAATGAACAATGATGCCATAGTCTCAAGTGAATTTGAAAATATGTTGATTGTAGGTGTGGTACATATCTGATATAGATCTAGTGTTCAAACGTTCTTTTCCTCATCATTTAAAAAAAAATTATATTGACTTTTTAGAATACATTTTTTTGTAGGGCGCACTGCATTTTGGTAACCATTGACAACTTATGTTGACGAACTTTTGCTGATGAAGAAAAAAAACAACAACATTACATCTATTGCACTTTATCTGCTCAGCGATATAGCCTTATGATGTTACTGTAAACCTATTTTCCTTCTTGAAGAACTTACAATTTACTTTGTTTGTATCTGTCAACAGAGCATGCAATTACAATCACAAATGGAAGCTTCAGTTGGAATGAAGAAACTGGAGAAACTTTGAAGAAGTAAGTATTTTATTTACCAGTGAGAACTGTCATCAAATTTCCTGATGGAGTCCCATGAGCTGCTTGCAGTACCTTGTTTTGTCTTAGGCTACTTCCCTGAACCTGTACCAGAGTAGCAATGTTCAAGGGGTGAGAAATGTTACTTTAGTAACATCATTTTTTCTCAGGTCGTGACATCCTGTTTGTAAGACTGGCTGTGAAAATATATTTTCAATGCAGTATTCTGTTGTTTCCTCAAGCTAATCGATAAAGTTATTTATCTCTAAATAGCTGACATTTTCAAAAAGTTGTATCTTCTGATTGTGTTTTGGGGATTTTTTGTCTTTGGAAACATTTAGAATTTGAATTTTGACATATTTCTATAGCACATGCAGTCAATACCAAAGATTAAGAAAGTGATAAAAATAAAAATGTTCAAAATTTCAGGATGAGTACATATCTAAGCAGCTGATGGATGATATGTATGAGTATATTTATACCTCAGGTTGATTGATTGTAAATTCTTTATTCCGCCATTGACACAATGTAGATTATTTAAGAGATGGGCTGCTTCCACTGTGCCTGTCTGGTTTAGCCTGAGCTAAGTGGGATAGGGCTTCCCCAGCAAAAAGAGGGGTATACTCTGTAAAATGTGTGCGATAATGAAGAGCTGAAACAATACACCACAAACATGGGTCAATAAACGTGGAAGTCCGTGTACATAATACAGCCATTGAAGATACCTCCGCAGTTTAAAGGAAAAAGAAAGAGCAGGCCTGCCCAAACCAGCTGTCCGTACAAAATTGTGAATAAATCAATACCCAGTGTTGAAGAGGCTGTAGGCGGTATAAAGGATTGAGAGTGCAGTTACAAATTGCTAATGGTCGACTTAAAAGTGATGGAAAGGCGAGAGACACAACACTTGTGTTGGGCAAGGAAGTTGAGCTGTTTGATAAAAAAATGTTTCCCTAAAGGTTATACAAAACTAACGAAAATGCTCCTTCATGTAAAATCAAACAATAATGCTCTCTGCTTTTCTAAATGAGCTTTGCTTCCTTCTCTGCTTCTGAAAAAAAATTATCGTAATTTTTTTTCCTTTCCATTCTCTACATCTGGCAAGGAGGGTTAGCATCCCGACTCCTTGATGATTTGATGATTTAAGTTGTGTTGATAAGGGCGTAAAACGTGTTTTTAATCATTCAATCATATTTTCTGCTTTTCGTAGTGAGCTTTTCCTCCCTCATGCTACTGGTAAAAAACGACGACAGAATTTATTTTTTCATTTCTTCCCCTTCTCTCCATGTCTCCAGCATTAATGTGAAGATACCTGACGGTGAGCTGGTGGCTGTTGTGGGCACGGTGGGTAGCGGCAAATCATCGCTGCTGGCAGCCATGTTGGGGGATCTGGACAAGACGGAGGGCTCTGTCAATGTCAGGGTGAGAAGTTTCTGCTTTGAGGGAATTTTTGCCCTGTCTATTTGTGTGTGTCAAATGGGTAACGGGGAATGATCAGGGAAACTTGGCTTTTTTAAGAGCATCTGAGAAAAAGGAATGAATGGAGAACCATGATCGCAGATGACTTCCGCAGATCTGGCACTGGATGATTTGGGTGTATGCCAGTGAAAACATCCTGAACTAGACGCCCCCTGCCCCCATCTCTTTACCTTCAAATCATCTCTAAGTGGAAAGAGTTATTGGTTACAAAATATGTTGTTTGGAAATAAAGAACAATGCCATCACATGCTTAGGCAGGATCTGTAGTGTAGAGTGATGACAGTGTACTAGATGTGTCCCTTTTGTTAAGAAAGGGTACAGGAATTCCAGAAATTGTCCCAAGTTTTCATAGCTCTTTGACATGGGCTCATGTAGAGCATTATACTTTAAGTGGTGATAAAATAGACAAGTGGTGAGTCTGTGAATAGTTTTCCCATCCCATGTGATGATGTTTAAACGTAGACAATTGACACTTAGACAATTAACCGTCACGTGTCCAAGAAATCCCCTGTGCAAACAACCACTTTCCTCTTCCCTTCTTGTGTGTTTTTGGATGTTTTTTTAAAATATTACAATGGCACTGTCAAAGATGTCCACCTATCTAAGACAGCCATATTTCTCCTAAACGGTAGGTGGTTAGTGGGTGCTCTGGTGTAGTTTGCTCCTTCTTTCATATTCAACATCCATCGTCCTGAGCTCTCCTTTTTTTCCTTGAATGTTACTCTCTAATAATACCTCTAATCTTTAGCACTTATATGACCTAATTGTGTTGCAAGGGCCGTAAAGCTCTCACTAAAACTTAAACTTTTCCTCAACTGTAGGTGGCCGTGGTTGACAATTTAAACTGTAATAATGATAAATAATAAATAGCATTTGTATAGCACATGTCCCGAATCGAAAGCAAGCTCTATGCGCTTTACACTATATTATTACCCCAGCAGACCATAGAACACTCAGAAACATTCTCAGCTTCCTGGGAAGCATACAGTGCAAGCAACTGCTTAAGTGCTCAAACACTAACAAACTGACAAGATCTTTTTCTGTCTATAGCTGGATACCCATTTTAATCTCTGTCGGGCCCGCGGCTCGAACCCCCGAACCCGCAACCTCACGATCATGAGTCCCGTAGCTTAACCACTAGGTCACCTACACCACTGTATGTAAAAACTGCTTGTTCTGTCTAGGGTACTCTGGCGTATGTGCCGCAGCAGGCGTGGATTCAGAATGACACGGTGCGCAACAACATCCTGTTTGGGCGGCCCATGGACAAGGCTCTGTACGACCGCTGTGTGGAGGCCTGTGCCTTGACCCCGGACCTGGACATCCTGCCCGCCGGTGACCTCACAGAGATTGGCGAGAGGGTGAGTGAAAGTTATGTTCCGACTACTGTGTGGATATTCGTTATTTTGACCCATTGAAAGAAAGGTGGTATATTAGAGTTTGACTTTTTTTTTCCACTATACTTATATGTAATAAAGTCCTAATTCTGCTTTTTATTTCCATTAAACTTATTTATGATAATGTCCTACTTCTGCTTTTTATTCATTATAGGCCTACTTATATGTAATAATGTCTTAGTTGGGCAGTAAGATCCCACAATAGCTACAAAATATTTGAGAGGTCTATTCCTAAGTTATGGAGTTCATAGCACCATTTCTATCAGAAAATATTATTGATTTTTCATATTAATATCAAACTGTTTTAGGCTTGAGTTTATTTTATATAATAATGTCTCTTTTATTATATCAAAGAACTCCATCAATCACTCTGTGTTTGTTTGTCTTCCTCAGGGCATTAATCTATCGGGTGGTCAGAAGCAACGCGTGTCGTTAGCGCGGGCTGTGTACTCTCAGGCGGACGTGTACCTTCTGGATGACCCACTCAGTGCTGTGGACTCACACGTCGGTCGACACATCTTTGATCACGTCATGGGGCCCTCAGGCATGCTTCACAGCAGGGTAATGGGCCTTTTAATTTTGGCTATATTGTGTTTTAAATAAATAAGTAAGTGTTTTTGGTTATACACCTCTTTCAATGCTTTTTGGTTATTTAAGAGGTGGGACCTCTGAATTTGGCATCCATCTCCAACAGGACTGAGCCATATGGGTTGAGAGCCTTTAAATCTACATAAAATAACCAGAGTTCAAGAAGAATGCCAAGTCAGGATGTGAACCAGAGCAATGCGCCCTGTAGTTGAGCATGATACATGTACCAGCTGAGCTAGTGGAACACCTGTGTGATATTGTTTTGTGAAACAGGTGCTGCAAGGAAGGGAAATGGTATATATTGTTTTTTCTCTTCTGAAAATGTCTTTTTATGCACAAAATCAGTTGTCATTTTTATTGCTTTTGTAGCCAGACCAAGAAAAATCTTATTTCTTTTCTGTTGTAATCCATTCTAAGTTTAAATGGATGGGAATTGTTTTGAGTTTCTGCCAAGTTGAAGAATTGTTACACAGATTGTTTGTGGGTGGTTGGAGGGTGCTCTGGTGTGGTTTGCTTCTTCTTTCCTGTCAAACATCTGTCGTCCTTATCTTTTCTCTTTTTTTGTGTTTGTTACTCTCTTCTGACACCCTAAATCTTTGGCACTTATATGACCTTATTGTGTTGCAAGTGTCTTAAAACACTTACTAAAACAAACATACACAGATTGTTTGCCCTGCTCTGCTTAGTAGTTGAGCATTTAGTTTCCCCACTTTTTGTATAGACCCTATTAATATCTGCCCACTAGTATTCTTTATTCTGAAAAAAGCCTTTTCACATCAAATAGTATGAAACTTAAGTTTTCTGTTTTTAGTCGGATATTTTAGAGCCTTTTTAGTGAAAAATGACTTGTTTAAAGATAACATTTGAAGCTGTAGTTCTGACACTCAGAATAAAGGAGGAAGAACTTTTGTTAATTTTATTGATTTCAATAGAGGTCCTGTTCTATAGAGATACATTTCTCACCTCAATTACCAGTGGTTTAAAGTTCTATTCTCAGTCTGACGGTAGACAAGGACTTACATTTTTTTTTTCAGATTGAATCCTGCAATTATATCGTCAGTGTTTTGCCACAATCACCAAAATTAATTTCTAGAGGTTTTTAGATAAAGCTGTTATTCAAGTTAAGACCTCTGGGGACATCTCACCATAATAAAACACTGTGTTTCTTTGTCACTATTTCCTTCCTAATTTTTTTGGGAAACATAACGAACGGCCAAGTCATCATTCTGATTTGGGTGCTCTCTGTCTCTCATTTTCTCCAAACTTCAAAAACTGATGAACATGTTTATGGAATAACGATGATATTTGGTATGGATTTTGATCTGTCATTGAAATGATGTATTCTGTGTCAAAAAGAAGATACACTTTAAAAACTCTTCTGTGTTCCTCTCTGTGTTTAGGTGCGGGTGTTGGTGACCCACGGCATCCAGTACTTGCCGTACACTGACCATGTCATTGTGGTGACCGGCGGCCGAGTGTCCGAGGCGGGCCACTACGAGAAACTGTTGACCCACAATGGGCCGTTTGCTCAGGTCATTCGCATGTTCCTGGCACAGGGGGATGGCAACGAGAACGCCAACAGTGATGAAAGTGAGAAATGTTTTCGATTTCTTCATGTCTTCTGTTGCTGTTGATTTTTTTTTTTAATCCACTCTAAATAAAGAAAACTATAAAATAAATAGCACCGCACAGCTCATATTCATGCTCAACAGCAAGCTCTGTGCACTTTACAATATTCCTCCTTTTTTTCATCATCCTGTTCCCCTTCTCTCTTCATCCGCCAATGTTTCCCTTACCTTAGCACCACTGCCACTTGATATGTTGAAATTCTTCAATTATGATTTCAAAGTGACCATAAATTGGCAGAAATCTTAAAGATTACCTTGGTAGGTCCATCTTCTTTCTAACTATCAATCTGTTGTTTCTGTCTGTCTTACATTTTCGTGGGCACTATATAACTGTTATCGTACTGAGGTGCTTCTCCTCTCTCAAAAACTAAGTTTTTGATTTTCTCTCAAATGTTTGGTTTCATGTGTTTCCTCCTGCAAGTTGAGGTCCTGAAGCGTGAAGTCCTAAGAAGACTGTCAGAGACGGAAGATGATGATGACGGCGAGGTTATCGTGAAGGATGCGAGAGACATCCTCAGGCAGCTCTCAGTGTAAGTTTAACAGCACAGGGGAAAGTGGAGGAGGAGAAGATGAAATAAAGGAGATTATGTTGTTTATCCGCTCTGGAAATTGTAATTTCATCTGTACATGAGGCAACCTGTAGTTTCAGAATTTCTTTATGTGAGTAATATCATTGTCAAGCTGTTCAACCTGTTTTAAGTCCAGAAAGTTAAATTTGTCTGGAGAGAGACAAAAAAATGTTTCACTATTTTGTAAAAAAAATGGACTTAAGCTATGTATCTTTTCTTACTTTTTCGAACAAATTCTAAAAATACCTAGTTAGAAACTTGTTCTAGATTTGCAACATGCCCATTAGGGTATTCAAGGCAGGTCTAGACTCATCTGTCCATGTAAATGAGCCCTTACTGCTGATTGTGGGGTTACTATACTTGTTATGTATTTGCATAGTTCCAGGTTTGCCAACTAACACTAATTTCCCATGAGTGTCCCAGATTTAGCAATCAAGAATGTTGAGAAACTGCTACCTCGTAAATCTAAAGAGTGTTAATGGGAGCATAAAGCACCTATTATTACATATGTTATGAGATGATGATTAAGGAAGACTGTTGGTGGTCAGGGGTTTACTCGTTGTTTCTGATCAAACAGCTATCTTCCTTATCTCTCCTACTTCTTTTCTTTGTGCTAAAACTTCTAATCTTTGGCTCTTATATAACCAATCCGTGTTGCAAGAGCCGTAAAACACTTACTAAAACAAAGAAGAGATGACGAGTGTATGGAATGAAGGAATCTCCAGTGTCATATAACATCCTGTTGCAGCAGCAGACCACTCTTCTTTCTGTGACATTTTCTGAGATGTATGCCATAACGATGATAATAATAATAATGATTGCATTTATTAAGCACCCTTCTCATACAAGTATAAATTCTGATAGCTTTACATCGATGACATGATTATCGAGAATAAACATCGCACACGCACACACACACACACACACGCATACCCACACACACACACGCATACCCACACACACACTCACACACACACACACACACACACACACACACACACAGAGAGAATTCATCATAAGTAAAGTGAGTAACTATGACCTTATCCAGTTGCGAACGCTGTAAAACCCCATACTTTACTAAAGTGAGTTAAGCTATTTAATTTTTGTAATATTTTTTTTTCCATTTGTCAGGACTTCACACTCATCGGAAAAGAAAGAAAACAAAAAGGAAGAGACCCCCAATCATGTTATGCTGCGTCAACAAAGTCATCAAGCTACTCTTATTGAGGAAGAGACAGTTGGCACTGGCACAGTGAGTTGTGTGTATAATATGTGTCACGGCACTGTGTTTAAAAAGTTTTGATATTGACTAGCTTTTAATTTTTAAAAACTTACCCATCTATCTTGAATAGAAGTTGAGACAGTTGTTATTAAGTAGATGGGAGTTGCCTGGTGACAAAGGTAAAATAAGTCAGATATGGCCTCCAAAGTTTGGTGACCTTCAAAGCTTGAGTGTCCTTGGAGATAGCAAATTCAATTTTGTGTGCCTTTAATCAATGTTTTTCAGTAAAATCCACACAGGAATGTGTTTTAAATAGACAAAAAAAATATTGAGGAAAAAAAATTTATTAATAAATTCAATAAAAATTTCGCAACAGTCGTTTAAGTTTAAGTGTCAGTTTCTTTTATTTCATTATTTTGACAAGACCCAGATGACACTCATATTGTTGTGTGAAAAAATGCCCAGATTTGTCAGTATATTCAACGGAATTGGCATTGTGCATGTTTGAGGATCATGTTATATTTTCCTTTTTAAGTAACGAGCCATTGGCTCTTTTAATAACTTGATGAACTGCAGTATGAATAGCTTTGGTTTGATTTCCTGACAGGGCTTTCTTGAACTTGGTTGTTCATGGAGTTTTCATGACATTCCACAAGTTTGACTTGGGCCTTTATGAAGATGAAAGTTAAATTTGAGGTCCAGTCCAGATATCTGAAATTGTTCTGTTTCTGCCCAACCTCAGACTGACTGTTGCGGAAATAGTCTTGATATAATATTGTGATCCCTCTTGTGATAATTTCTACAGGATCTGAAAAGCTCTGGATTTTTTTGCATAGCCAGTGCCACCTCTGATTTTCCAGGAAGCAAAGATACTCAATCATCCCTGACCTGCTTGCTCCTCAGGTGAAGATGGGTGTGTTCAGGGAGTACGCCCGCTCAGTTGGCTACTTCTCCGTTTTTATCATTGTGCTGCTCTACGCCTGCTACTCCGGGTCTGACCTAGGATCACTGATCTTTCTGAGCTCATGGACGGATGACCTTGACCTTGCCAATTTCACTCTGATGCCGAGTAACAGCTCGGAGCGTTCTGATAGGAACAACTTCTACATCGGCATCTACGGCTTGTTTGGTGTTTTGCAGAGTAAGTGAAATCCTGAGTTGACTTTGAAGATGGGCTTAGGTGGCTAGCAGGTGCTCTGCTGTGATTTGCTCCTTTTTTCCTTTCAAAGATCTATCATCCTTACCGCTCCTCCTTTTCTTTTTTTCTTTATGTGTTTCTCTGCAGTAACACCTCTAATCTTCAGTACTTACATGACGTATTTGTGTTGCAAGTGCTGGAAAACTCACACTAAAAGTAAAAGGAACTTCGGATTTGGGGAGAGATTTCTTTTTTGATGGGGCAGAGACAGGGATGAATTTGTCTTTCAGGTGAATTTTTTACTCACAATCGAAGGAGCAGGGGTTTGATTTCTTTCTCTCTCAGTTATGTTGTATTACCTGGGGAATGTTCTTATCTGTTTAGAATGTAATATGTGTGTAATCATACTCACTTGCCCTGCACTACATTCAAGGAGAGCTATGCTTTTCTTTATCATGTCATTTTAAATGAGTGTTTTGGTGTAATAAATGAGATGTGTGTTTATGCTGCAGTGCATTTCTGTTGGTGGAGATCATAGCTAACAGAATTGTGTATTGCTTTTGTCCATCTTCAGCCATTTTCATTATGGCGTTTGCGGTGACTCAGAGCTTGCGTGCAGTCCATGCGTCGCGGGTACTACACAGCTCCATGCTGTCCCGTGTTTTGCGTGCTCCGATGGCCTTCTTCGACACCACCCCTGTCGGACGCATCATGAACCGATTTTCCAAGGACATGGACGACGTGGATGAGGAGATTCCGATGACGTTTGTCATGTGGGTGGACTGCATCTTCATGGTTCTGTCCACCATCGTGGTCATCTCGTACAGTACCCCGCTCTTCCTGGCCTTCATGTTACCTGTGGCTCTTCTTTACTTCTTTGTCCAGGTGAGTTAGCTTCCTTATTCTTTTCTTTCGTTATGAATAAGTGATTTGCTGGGGATCTAGTTATGTTTGTTTCTTTCCTTTCAAATATATATCGTCCTTAACTCGCGTCTTTCTTTTTTGGGGGGTTTTTCTTTTCTTTTTTTTTTTTTTGTTGCTGTCTTGTAACACTTCTAATCTTCAACCCTTATATGACCTATACGTGTTACAAGTGCAGTAAAACTGTAAAACTCTTACTAAAACAAGCGGGTTTGGCCACATGTTATTGGAGAGTGCTGCTAATAGGTCCTACTTCTAAGGAAACTTTCATGCTTTTCGTTTATTTTCCTCAGAGGTTTTACATTGCAACGTCACGTCAGCTGAAGAGATTAGAGTCGAAGACACGCTCCCCGATATTCAACCACTTCAGTGAGACCCTGACAGGCGCAAGTGTGATTCGAGCTTTTGGCGCAGAGAATCGGTTTGTTCTAGAGTCGGAATCCAAGGTGGACTCGAACCAGATCTTCTCCTTCTCCAACTTTTGTGTAAACAGGCAAGTGCCAGCAAACCTTATGTGCATGAAGTTCTGATGAAATTTTTTTTTGTTTCAAGATCAGCAGTCAAAGAGTGAAATTCCACAAATTATCAGGTAGAGAATATCAGGTAAAGGCTGCCTAACTTGATATGCAGATTGTGGAAATTGTGATATTAAAAGGTTGAATAAGCCTTGTGTGATTTTAATTTTACCTTGCCCTGAAAATCTTTCGAGACTCACACGATTTTACCTGTAATGTTAAATAATATTGCAGAATGACTTTTGACTGTAACAAGTTTTATCATGTGCATACCCTTGTCCTTAACCTTTTTTTTTTTAAATCGTGGGTGGTTGGCGGATGCTCTGGTGTGGTTTGCTTCTTCTTTCCTATCAAACATCTATCGTCCTTATCTCTCCTTCTTTTTGTATGTTTGTTACTCTCTTGTAACACCTCTAATCTTCTGGCGCTCATATGACCTTATGCAGTTGCGAGCGCCGTAAAACCTCTACTAAAACAAAACAAAATATAAGCTTTTTAGCCCTGGTCCACAAAGCCTAAAGCAGGCTTGCCAAAAGGCCTGTATTTCCCAAGACTGTCCTGGATTCAGCAGTTGGGAATTCGAGAGGACATTATTAGCCTGCTACATCAAAACCAATCCCATGTGATGTAGTTTTATTCATTGTTGCGTCAACTGCTTTTATAACACTAGGTGTCCCTGATTGGGTTTTGAAAAAGTTGGCAAGCCTGCTAAAGGACCAGTGCCTCTGAGTTCCCTTTGGTCAACTGTTAGATATACTTCCCCACTCATTATGGTGTGCATTTGGTTCACAGAAGGGTCAAGATAAGGTTGTACACGCTCAGGTTTGCATGCAGATCTATAGGGATAGAACTAAACGTGACTATTCATGCGAACTGTAGCCTAAAATCATAGTTTTAAAAAACTGTTATAAAAATATAGAACTTGGAGGAAGGAACTTCTAAATCTTTGCCACTTACTATTTGTTATTTATGCCTCCCATTCATTTTTTCTACAATTACTTTTTAAACCAGATTTCAACTTAGAACTGAGGTTGACTGCTTAATTCTTCTGGTGGTTATCTATGGGAAAGAACTCTCTGATATCTGTGTGCATTTTCTTGCTCTTTTATGTGCAAAATGTAAAACATTTGTTGTTACTGTTTTATATACCAAACTTTGACTTTCAATCATTGATGAAGACGAAAGCTTTTGGTTTGTTTATTTGGTCCAAGCTCTGCTTTCTACTGAAATATGTAAATAAATATGACATAAAAGTCTTCATGAACCTTCCCTGTTCTATGTGCAGGTGGCTTGGCATTCGTCTCGAGTTTGTGGGCAACATCATCCTTCTTCTGGCAGCAACCATCGCCGTGGCAACCAAAGACTCCATCACAGGTGGTGTCATGGGATTGTCCATCACTTATGCATTATCTGTAAGTTTGAACACGGTGTACCCCAGCCCTAAAAAAAGTCACTTCTTTCAATCTCTTTGTGATCTCAATGTTGAGCTCAATTCGTCATTTTTCTTGCACTGATGGAAGAGAGATACTTCTGTGACAAATGGCACTCATCATGCCTTGAGAAAGATGAGGACCAATTTTGTATTCATGATACTGTTTCCATTAGAGGTGCTGTTTAAAGTTAATTGCAGGTTCAAATTCAGCAAAGCTATTTAAGTATTAAGAGAACTTTTGGTTTTAGACACCATTTGCCATATTATCAAACAATCTAATTAAAGGCAATCAAATGCTAAATCAAGTGCTGCCTTCCATCCTTTGAAATCCAAAGCTGTGCTTCGTGAGGCAGTAATTGTCCCTACATCACAAAGGAGTTCATTGTTACTATCACAGTAAGAGGGTGGTTGGAAGGTGCCACAATTTGGTCCTGCTTCTTTGTTAATAATAATGATAATAATATATAACATTTATAAAGCGCATTTCCAAAAAAAAGTAGCTCAATGTGCTTTACATTGGAATACCAAAATTTCAAAAACTTTCTTACTACTTTCTTTCTTCTCTTGCAATATATACCGTATTTATGCGCACACACACACACACACACACACACACACACACACACACACACACACACACACACACACACACACACACATGGACTATTTTCATTCAGACGTAGGCACAGATCAACTATTAAAAAAATAACGCTGAAAGCTTATGAAGGATAGGCCTGTAGGAACAGAAAATGCTTAAGATGTCTTTTGAAGCTATGAAGTGTTCTTGTTATTCCGTTTGTTTCCATCAGTCTAACTTTTTAGTCAGGATTGAATGACAGTTATTGTGTTGACATTGATGTGCACCATTAGAACTTAAAAACGTTTTTTTAACTTCAACTCACTAGTAGGTCTTACTCCTTATCTTGCCCTATGTTGTACATCTCTGTCTTGCGTTTTTCCTAAACTTAATTCATCTGGTGTGGTTTTCTCTGATTCTTCTTTCCTGTCAAACATATATCATCCTTATCTCCCCTCCTTCTTTGTTGTGTTTGCTACTCTCTTGTAACACCTCTAATCTTCGGTCCTTTTATGACCTAATTGTGGTGCAGCAAGTGCCGTTAAACTCTAACTTAAACTAAACAAAATTGTACTTGGTTAAGTTTTGTGTGGTGATCTTTACCAAGAAATTGCAAGACATTTTTTCCGTCGTTGGCCCCAGCAAAATTTTGAATTTTATAAAGGCCATTGGCCTTTATGGCAAAGTGTAAAGTGAAATCGTACTATTTAAAATTTTTATTGTTACTTATAAGAGTTGTTTTAAATCGCAAATATATTTACACTGAATTTTAATATTTTAGCATTTTAAGTATAATAGTTAACCAATCGTGCAGTGAACTTTTGCGAAAGTAAACAACTTGTGTTTTGCGCGCTCATATGACCTTACGCAGTTGCGAGCGCCGTAAAACCCTATACTACTACTACTTACGTGTTTTTCCCATCAGATTACAGAGAACTTGAACTGGCTGGTGCGTATGACAGGAGATTTAGAGACCCAGATAGTGTCAGTGGAGAGGATAAAGGAATATACTGAGCTGACCACTGAGGTAGGATTCATAGTCGCTTTGTGTGTGTTTGTGAATTTGTGGGGGTGTTTGTGAATTGTGTGTGTTTATGTGTTCGTGAATTGTGTGTGTGTGTATGTGTTCGTGAATTGTGTGTGTGTGTGTGTTTCTAGTAATTGTGTGTGTGTGTGTGTGTAGTAATTGTGTGTGTGTGCCTGTGCATTATTGTTAGTGAATGGCGAGAAAGAGGGAGAGAGAGAGAGTGTGTGTGTGCAGACATGAGTGAATGGAGCTTGGATTGTTCGAGAGAGGGTAAGAAGGAGAAAAAGAAAGAGAATGAAAATAAAGAAAGGGAATGAAAGAGAGGGAGAGAGTGAGGGAGAGAGAGAGAGAGAGATGTGACATATGTAACAAAGGCTACAATTTAGCCAAACTATTAAATTTTTTACATTGTATATTTTGAATTCTTACCTTGCTGTTTTTGTTTCATGTTTGGTTTTTGTTTTACCTTGTTTTGTTAATGATAACTTTCTGTTTTCCACTGAATGATGATGCCTTACCTGTCACCTGCTCCCCCAAACCATACCCCCCCATATTTTAGGCCGCCTGGGAATGTTTTTCACATCGCAGTCCCTTGGGGTGGCCTCAAGAAGGTCACATCAAGTTTGAAAACCTCAGCCTACGTTACAGAGATGGCCTTGACCTTGTGCTAAAGGCGGTCAGTTTTGATGTACAGCCAGGAGAGAAGGTAAGGGCAAAACATGAATAAACATGAATTGATTCTTTGAGTTTTGAAGTCTTCTTTTTATATTATGAATTGCTTCTGCTTAGGACTATAAGTGGTCCGGGGGTTACTTTCTAAATAATGAGTTGGTTGATTGATTTTAATTATTTTGCACTTCATTGAGACAACTGGAATTATTTAGGAGGTGGGGTCTTTGGATTTGCTTTGTTTTTGAATAATTCAAAATACAGAAAGATGCTAATGTATTTGTGGCTTAGACTAATTTGGTTCTTAAAGGACTGACCTGCTTTCAAACACCGTTTGATTTTAGAAAACGAGCTTGAAAATTTGTAAAGAGATTGATTTTAATTGCAATGGATCCCTAGGCCCTTTCATGTTACGTTTATTACCACCTTAGAAAGGGAAATTTAAAAAGGAAAGGAATTAACCTTAGATACAGGGTGTTCTTTATTGTAAGAGAGTCTTCAAAGAGATAAATGAGTTTATTACTCGTGTCTTCATCATAATCAACCTTTCTCATCCCATGCCAGAGTATATGCCACCAACTGTCTACTTCTGTCCTGGGCTATAATCTCCACTTCACTCCAGATGTGTCCCATCTCCTTTAGGTCCAAATCTAAGTCCTTCTTCCAAGCTCTTTAAGTCTTTCCTCTCTTTCTCTCTCCTTGTGGATCCCATCTTCCATTACTTGTGTACTTCAAAAGAATTCTCAAAATAATTTGCTACTCCACTTGCTCTCCATGTCGTCACGCAGGTTGGTATAGTCGGCCGAACAGGAGCAGGTAAATCTTCCCTGACCTTGGCCTTATTCCGTCTAGTGGAACCAGCAGGTGGTCGTATCCTCATTGATGGAATCGACATTGGTACCCTCGGCCTGCATGATCTCAGGGCGAAGGTCACAATATTGCCCCAGGTGCGTGAACAACATCAGTATTTTACCCCCTTAGAATTACAAAGTTCTATCTAATTATTTTTGGCCTTTTTGAGTTACTAAGACTCAGACCATGAGGTCAGAAACCAAATGTTCTATCTGCTGTATCAAAAGCATAAGATTATTCGGAGTTTTTATCAATTTATTCCAAGAACTGCAATTGAGAAAGCTTGATATGTTGTGCAACTCAAAATTTTTTACGTCAAATTTCTCAAAGCTTAGTACTGAGCAGATAAAACTTTGTAATTCTAAAGTAGCGATTTGTTGTGATTGTATGCGGTATTGAAACATTTGAACATGTCAAGATGTATCAGACATGTGGTCCCCTTGGACCGTGTCATTATGATGCAGAAAAAACGCAAGGGGGTTAGTTGTCGTTTGTACGGGCGGTTGTCTTGGACAGGTTGTTATTAGAGCTTATTTTAATGCCTGGAATAAATGACTTTTCAGTTAGTTTTAGTAAGTTTTACGTCATTTGCATCACAAGTAGATAATGTAAGTGCTGAAGATTAGAGGTGGTACCAAAGAGTAATGTACAAAGGAAAGAACCAGGGGACATAACGACAATAGATGTTTGAATGTGAGAAAAAGATGTCTGGTTACACAAGAATACGAGGCAACCACCTTCAGTGCTATTCTCTACCAGTAAATTTTGTATGTGCAAGTGTATGTAAATATCTGTGTGTGTAGTGTGTGTGTGTATGTGTCTTTTTGTGCGTGTGTGTGTATGTGTGTGCATGTGCTTATATGTGTGTGTGTTTTCGCACAATGTGCTTTTTCTGTCCCATGAATCGTCTGTTAAGCTGAGTGATAATTGTAAACTTTTCAGTGCTTACGGCCTTCCAGAGATTTATTAGCACTATGTAAATTATTATTATTATCATTGTTATTATTCTTATCATTATCATTATCATTCTTTTTATTATTAATATCATTATCATGATTATTGTAAATGTGTTTGCAGGATCCCGTCATCTTCGCGGGCTCTCTCCGCATGAATCTGGACCCATTCGAGGAGTACGGGGAACACGCGCTGTGGACGGCGCTAGAGCACGCTCACCTCAAGGACTTTGTGGAGGGTCTTCCCAACAAGCTGGAGCATGAGTGTGGGGAGGGAGGGGAGAACCTCAGGTGAGGAGGAGGAGGGAGTGGGAGGAGGGAGGGGAGAGGGAGGAAGGAGGGGAGAATTTCAGGTGAGGAGGATGGGGGAGGGAGGGGTGGAGAAGAGAGGGAGGAGAAGAGAAGGG